CGGCGGCGCCGCCGCCCCTGAGCCGTTACGAGTCGCAGAAGAGGAGGGACTGGAACACGTTCGGGCAGTACCTGAAGAACCACCGGCCGCCGGTCCCCCTGAGCCACTGCGATTCGGGTCACGTGCTGGAATTCCTCCGGTACCTCGACCAGTTCGGGAAGACCAAGGTCCACCTGCATGGGTGCGTGTTCTTCGGGCAGCCCGACCCGCCCGGCCCCTGCACCTGCCCGCTCCGCCAGGCGTGGGGAAGCCTCGACGCCCTGATCGGCCGCCTCAGAGCCGCCTACGAGGAGCACGGCGGGTCGCCCGAGGTCAACCCGTTTGGAAACGGAGCGATCCGAGTCTACCTGAGGGAGGTCAAGGAGTGCCAGGCCAAGGCCAGGGGGATTCCTTACAAGAAGAAGAAGAAGAAGAACAACAAGAAGAGGATCGACCGTCCGATCAACCCCACCGCCGGTGACGACATCGTCACCGGTAATCAAAGGCTCCCCACGGCCTGACCCGGCGATTTAATACTGTGCGCGGTAATAGTAAGTATTTATTAATTAATTTATTATTCCGAAATCATATTAAAAAAGAGATCGGATTAAACCAAAATCGAAAGTGCAGTGATTTTGATTGGGCAGTTCCACGTCATCATATATATATATATACATATAATACTGTTGTGCCCCTCAAGAAACCCTAAATCCCACAAAAAACCCTAATTTTGTTGTGCAGATTGAGTAATACACATGTAGCATTTAATTAATTAATTAATTTTTATTTTTTTAAATTAATTTCAGGAGCACAAAAATAATAAAAAAATAATAAAAAAAAAATAAAAGAAGCTGAAAGGGGTGACCCAATAAATTGATTGAACAGATATATTATAACTCCTTTTTGTTTCTCTCTCAAATAATGCAAAAAAATACTGTTGGATGTGAAATTTGGGGATAAAATTATTTCCTTTTATAAGTTAGTTTTCGGATCATTTTGGGATTCGAGGAAAAGATTTTATGTCCACCATTTTCCCATGAAAGGGCCTCATTACTGTCTCTCTCTCTCTCTCGCATTTACATGACAATGGAGACCAATTATTTTACACGGTTTTCACATCACAAATATACCATATATTCTTCTTCTGTCTCCGAAGGCGTGCGAGTGGGAAGAACACGAATAACATCGCAATCTCAAACCCGATAAAACCAATCAATTTTTATCTGAACTCAAAATCAACCACTGAATAACAAAGAAGATCGAGTCATGAATCTTTAAATAAGGGGAAATGCTACGGTCACGTTACGGTACCATCTCGTCGGACTGCACGTTGATCCAACGGTTAAAACACCCGATGGGATAGTAATAACGGGGGAACGTAGCATTCTCCTTAAATAAGACACACAAAACCTATCTTGTCCACCAAGCCACTAAATCTTTAAATACTAAAATAACAATAAAAATAATAATAATAACTCTTGTGCATCAATAACCAATCTTTTTTAATGGTGATATAAATGATACTCCCTCCTATTCATAATAAGTGTCGTTTTGGGAAGTTGCACAGTTATTAAGACTATTTTTTTTGTCAATAATAATCTTCATTAATGAGGATAGAGATGAATGTTTTGAGAAAAGATGAAGAGTGAATATGAAAAGATGTAGTGTATTTATTAGTTAGATAAGGGTAATAATGGAAAAACTGTGTACAACATATCCAAAACGACATTTATTTTGTTAATAGTTGATAATGCCAAAATGGAGGTAGTATTTTAGTTGATTTATTAATCTTTATCAGACATTTCATTTATTTGGACCTGACAGTAAATAATAATATCACTTGGACCTGACAATAAAAAGAAGCTTTGATGTGTGTCTATATAAAGAGTGACAATATTTTAATGATCATCTTTATAGTTTTATTTTTTCGTACACTATTACATGCAGACAGTTTGTGTTCATCTGACGATGAATATTGACCTTTCTTTATTTTGTTCAATTTTACTATATTTGAGTAATGGGGACAGAAATCTGTGTTATATATATGTGTTTTTTACACTCAAATAATAATAATAATAATAATAATAATAATAATAATAAAAAAAAAAAGAAAAATGATGTGTGGGGGCCTTCAATTTTCGAGTGTTTTGAGGATTTTTCACCAAAGTTTCTCTCTTATCTGTCAGTACTTGAGCAAGAATCTATGACCATGCATTTCTATTTATATGTAATGAGTATACTTTTTCCATCGTGTAATTCTTTTGGTAAATAAATTGGTTGAGGGAGATGTTAAGGTCCCATTACGGAACCATTCAGTCGGGGTTTTTAACCGTTAGATTAACTATCCCGACGGTTACTTGATGATCTAACAGTTACAAATCCCGACGAAGTGGTTCTGTAACGGGACTGTAGCATTTCCCATATGTATGTATATTTATACCTCTATTAATTTGATTTTTGTTGCTTAACTTGGCATATCTTTTTTATTTATTTATTTAGTTTCATAACACTATCATTCAACAATAATTGACCAACTGTAAAGCATTTTTGGTCATTTGTCTGGTGAGATAACAGTGTAATTATATGACTTTAATTTGCTGATTTCCTTATCTGATAACTCAAGATAAAGTTGCTCATGTCACACAATAGTAGAAAAGAATCAGATTGATCTTACTTAAAAAGTGTATTTGGTAATCAACATATATATTAATTTATTATGTTAGAGTGTGTTTGGTAACCAACATAAGTTACTTAGAGCATGTTTGTATACAAAAAGTTTCACTCGAAATTTCATTCAAATCAAAATTTAACTCAACTTTAACTCAACTCTAATATCCTCAATATTATCAATATAATTAACTAATATCACCAAATCATTCTTTCACGTTTAAATCTATTATAATTCACTATCATCCACTCACATAATTTTATTTCAACTAGTTTTACTAAATATTTATTAAATTACTTAAAATTTTTTATGAACAAGGTATCGACTATGAACTCAAAATTAAATTATATACTAATAATTACCCTTTAGGTGTTTTTTATGACAAATTTTCTTTCATTTAGTCATTTGCACATACATCTTCTATGGTTCTTTAAGAATTAATTGACTTCATATTGTAATTAGGATTTTACATTTAGGATAATTAGTTTTCACTTTATCACTTAGAGATCTATAGTTGCAAGTCATTCATATCTCAAGATTTCTCATTTTTCTTGCTCATAACCACACATGCACAAATACAAAGTTATCATGAATGAGAATAATACATAACCCTCAAATGGATTATAATTTAAATACTTTAGTTAATATAAACTGAAACTTAATGATAGGTCTGATGATCACTTAGTCTATGTTTGGTAGACAAATAAGTCAGCTTATAGCTTATTTGGTTAGCGTATAAGCTCCATGTATTCAAATAAGTCTTGTTTGGTAGAACGATTTTTTTTTAAAAAAAAAAAACACTCGAGCTTATTTGATAAACTTATTTAGATAGTTTTTCAAATAAGCTAGTTGATTTTTTTTATTCCAACTAGCTTATCAGTTAATTTTACCAAACATTTTTATCATATAAGCTACCTTTTCAGCTATAAGTCATAAGCTATAAGCTCGAAAATTACTGATGAGCTATAAGCTAGCTTATCAGGTAGTTTTACCGAACATAACCTTAATATGTTCACTTACGGAGATTCGCATGCCAATGCATGATGAGTATCCGAATGTAAGATCGTGAGATCGAGTCTTGTGTTTGGTAGACAGTTATAAGACATTGTGATTATGATGTTGTTACATATGTTTGCACTATACTATTTGTAATCTTCAATAAGCAGAGAGAAAAAAATCCCCTTGGAACTTGAAAAAATCTCTCCTTCTTTTGACCTGTAAGTGCCATCTTGGTTCATGACCTTATGAATAACCTTCATTCATTTGGTCACCATTTTTGCTCTCTTATATAATTATGCAAGTCACACAGAGGATCTTGAAAACCGGAATTTTTACACATCGATTCTCTTTTTTCTTCGGATGTTAATAAATTTCCCAACTTCAGTGTCTAAGTAAGAAACTATGTGAAATAGTTAAGTTTTGTTGTTCTTCACAATTTGTGATTTCTTTTTTTTGGAGCTGTCGTCGCAGTCGACCTTTTACTTACGAAAAATAAAACATCACTCGAAGTACGTACCACTCGTAAATCAAAACAATGTTCACATGAGAATTACTCTTTTCTTCAATATTTTTGCAGGATAAGTTGGGCAAGTGACATGGATATGAAGTAAAACCGGTGCTTGAGTAGAGCTGGAATTTTCCGGTAATGTAGACATCAACCGTTAAGAAGTCTACTCGATCGCGAATAATAGGCAATATATATATGTATCAATAGTCGGAATTTGGTGATGTAAAGCTTCTCTTCTAGGGGAGCTTATTAGATATATATCTTACAGATGTATATTACTGTAATATGTCGTACCGTTACATGTCATGGCCAAATTTATACGTACGGGATACGTTTTATATTAGCTATTTATAGAAACTCACTCACTTGAACTTGTATGTGATACTCTCCCATCCTATTAATAGGCACATGATTTCTGAATGTGTTCTTCTGTTTCTGGGGCCTCAATGTATTATTATTCAGGCCGTAAAGACTCGTGGTGCCAAAGGGAGCTTTAAAAAGGTTGTTAGCTAGGTTGTGCTTGATATAGATCGGGCTAAATTGTAAAATATTGTCAGTATTTTGTACGCGGTGACAATAATAGCCACCATCTTTACGAATTGGCAATATTAGTCAATAACTTTCAAAATTTCGAGATTATTACCCAAGTCCAACCAAATTCGACATATAACTTGCAAAATATAGTCAATATCTTTTTACGCAGTGGCAACAATAGCCATAGAATTTGGTCGGACATAATCCCAAAATTTTAAAAGTTGTTGGCTAACATTGTCAATTCGTAAAGATGGTGGCTACTATTGCCACAACGTACAAGATACTGACTATATTTTGCAATTAAACTTATAGATCGTCATTGAAATTTTTCTGAATTATAATTTGAATTTAACTAACTCTAAGTTTTCTCAATATTATTAAAATGATTAAATAATAGCAATCAACCATCTTCACGCATTACATCGATTTTAACTCCTCGTTATTCTTCTGATCATATAATTATAACCGCCTATCACTTCTAATCACCTCTCGTACTTTAAATCAAATCAATTTTCATCATTTTATTTTAAATATTATTTTAATGAAAATCATAATAATTTCACTTAAACCTAATCTAATAATCTAAAACCTAAACCAACCAACTTTTTTTAAAATTAATTCCAGTTAATAACATAAAAGCTAACCAAAACTAAAATATCTAATAAAAAACTTATATATCCAAAGACACACTTATAGCACCCGACGATTAAATTAGGGTCGAGTGGAATGAGAGTATGTGTAGAGTGCAGAATAGTTAGAAGGATGTATATGTGCAGTTTTTTATAGAGTCATTGGATGACTCGACTTATAGAGTCATCCAAACTTATTCACCAATAGTGTATTGACATGTGTCCTACAATAAATACAATTTAGATATGTGTCAACATATTAAGTGGTTGATGACTACATAAGAAAATCGTCCGATTGCTAGAATTTTGTGTATATGTGTCCCAACTCCCATCACTTTTCCGCAAAGTTACCCTTGTCATATTCACTATTTCCTATCTCATGGGCTCATGGGTATTTCTCGCTCTTTCTTATGTGTGACCCATCAAGGTTTCTTGTGGGCTGGATAGGCCCGTTTGACCTTTCTGTAATTCTATAATTTCTATTGGGCTAGTGTAATGGTGTTATACGAGCTCTATGTGCATAATATAAGACCCATTAATTATATATCCACATTTTTTGCTACATTTTTGGTACATGGGCTCTTTTTTGGTTCATGCAGCAAGTGACAGCAATAATTTTTCTATTCCGAGCCTATTATTAAATAATTTATATCAAGTCTGTTGCTAAATAATTGCACATATAAAAAAACTTATTTGTAGGTATGTTGTAGGTAAGGTAAATAATAAGGAATATATATTCCGAGCCTATTATTAAATAATTTATATCAAGTCTGTTGCTAAATAATTGCACATATAAAAAAACTTATTTGTAGGTATGTTGTAGGTAAGGTAAATAATAAGGAATATACTAGAAAAAAAAAAAAAAATTACGATTAAACGTTAGCGGAGTTAATTAGATTGTAGTATGTTAAACTCTCTCTCCTCCACCCAAGAGCGTTTGGATGAGATGACTTGGGTCACTTCCAGCTTAACCAGTGGTCTCGTGTTCGAGCCCTGAGAATGCAGCAGTGTTAAAACTCTTGAGGGAGAGTTTTGCCGCCCTTGTGGTCCTACCCGGCTCGATTCCGGAT